AACATTTTTCTGTGTCACTCAAATGTCACAGATGGAAATGAGATGACACGAGCCATCCATCAAATTCTGCAGCCTTACCTTTTCTGAGTTCTGTATAGCTAAACCTGCAAATGGTGTCGCCTGTTGATGTGTGGATGTAGCAATTACAGGGAACCGACGTGATCACTGTACCAAGGCATGCACCAGCTTCCCATCCCCTAGAATCAGAGCTGATCAGCATGAAACTAGCTCCTCTGCCTTGAGTGCGTCGGCTTGAGGGAGGGAAAAAAAGATGAGATCACTGCTGGGTAATTTCCTCAAATAATATGTGTGTAAAATTAGATGTGTTTCCTTTGGTTTGTGCATCTTAAAAGCAGATGTATGACGAGGGGGGACTTTGTCTTAAAACAGCAAGTGTTTGATCATATATAATCACAAATGTTCATTAATCAATGAAATAATCCCTTCGTTATATAGAAAGGAACATAGGCCTGCAGGTTGTACAAACAGGGGTCTTTATTTTTTTGGCATCTATTGTTTTTTTAATGTTAGCATAGCATGAGAATTGCTTTATCACATAACTATATATATGTAGGACAGCACAGCCTTACAGTGATTTCCCTTCTGCTTCACAGTAATAATAATAATGGATTGCATTTATATAGCGCTTTTCGAGAACCTCAAAGCACTGTACAATTCCACTATTCATTCACTCTCACATTCACACACTAGTGGAAGGGCATTGTTCCCCTGGTGGGGCCTTCCTGTGTGGAGTTTGCATGTTCTCCCTGCGCCTACATAGGTATCCTCCCTCGGTGCAAAAACATGCATCTTAGATTAACTGCTAAATCTAAATTTGATAACATTTTTTATAAAGTATGCATGAATGCAATTTAAAATAAAGTGCTTTGAGTAAGTTTTCTAAATTGTTAACTTTGACTTAGAATTCGGTAAAAAAAAAAAATGAATAGATGATAATTTAGTAGGTAACTCCTTAAATTGAAATGACAAGAAACTAAATATTTTTAGACTTTTTTTTTTTTTACTACAGTTCATAGTCGTGTAAACTTGTGATCATTTCATTGGCATAGGAACAGGTTGTTACATAACAACAGCCTCCAAAGCCACCAGCTGCAGGTTTGCTGTATTATTCAAAGTACAAATTCTTTAAACTGCAAAGAAATGTAGTAGCAAGTCCTTGTGTAATGATTGTTAGTACATAGGTTGACCAATAGCTCAACCGATAGATGGAGATAGAAAGAGAGGGAGATGTGTAGTACATTTTTGCATGCATTTGCATCTTGGCACAGGGGAACAGAGCCTTTTGTGTGTCACAAGATCATGTGTAAATAACAACCCCTCCAGACGAAATGTCTTGTTAGGGATGAGGTATGAGTAGAGGGGGAGCTCTTTGGTCAGACCCATTTCAGGGAACAGAGAAACTGCCAGTGGTGGCAGTGAGAAGACGACATAGGGTGGAGAAAGAAGGGGGGAAAAAACAGAGGGGTAGAGGGCACCATCTCTCGGGGCCTCTGAGCTTCACTGGCAGTGTGTGTAAATCAGCAGGCAGCTCACGGCTGCAATGAGGTAGAAAATAAAAAAAACATAAAAATGTCCAAGTGAAATAAGAGGCAAGGAGAAATCTTTTATGATGAGCCTAAATTCTCCTTACTCTGCAGTAGATCCACTGACCGGCTCAGCTTGTCTTCTTCAGACACCGTCCATCATCCCAATATCTGCATATAGCCACAAATTACTCAAATTACCCCACCTGCTACTCATGTAATACATATGTAATGAGTATCCTAAATTTGCATGATTATTATTCATGGTACCCTTAATAGACCTATGTCAAATTCATTAATATGCACGTAAAATGATATGGACTGTCACACCAGGAAGTCTGAAGTTCTGCAGACGTAGTTAACACACATAAAGTCTTACTTAAAAGTTACCAACACTCTGGATGTTAAATATACACTGCCACTGGAGCGCGGATTCTTGTTCTTGACCTTTGGGAACAGTATATGCAAACCATGTAATGACACAGTGTCATAGCTCTACTGTCTAGCTTTGTGAAGTTAGAACTTCCGGCCCTCTTCAGCAGGATGGTTTTGGGGGCATCATGTGACCTGTAGGTGGAAGCTATGGAGCGGACATTGAATTCATTGAAAGTACATTACCATATTTAAGTTGTTTATCGTGCTGGCTGGTTAGCTCAGTTGCCTCACAGCAGATAGGTCATGCACCTGTAGACGTTCTCCTTGTATTGCATGGGTTTTCCTCATAATGTGGATATGAGGATGAATGGCACCATAACATTTTATCTCATTGCCTCTTTATTTTCCTCTATATAATACGTACTGTATTATAAATAGGATGAGAAGACAAGAATACAAAAAATATAAAGCAGTAAAACTGAATAACTTGAAACGTCTGAATCAATCAATCTGAATGTGAATCTTACCGCAGTGTTCTTACTTATGAAAATGTGGTCTTGTCACAGTGTAATGATGAATACCTCTGTGTGTACTTTGGGCACTAAATGAGTTCAGGTTAGCTTGGCAGGACCCGAGCTTGGATACATGCCAAAGCTGACACTAAATGGGAGTGATGGCAACAATCTGCTATCCAGTGCCTCAGTTAGCTCAGCAAGCTCTTGTGATTCAAACCTCACACCTTCACTTCCACTGCTGGAGGGCTGTCTTGAAAACTG